ACACATATGTTGCAAGCGTATGTTGTAAATGTTTTATCTATTTCAGACATATGTTGCAGCAAATGCTTTACGTTGCAAGTGTTTTATCAGCAGGCGCGTCTAGGGGGCGTAGGAAGAGGTGCCCCCTTGGGCGCAGCGGTGCCCGCGTGCGCGCGGGAAGCCAAGCGGGCGTGACAGCAGGCGTGGAGCACGAAGTTGCATCCATGCTCGGCTGCTCTCTCTCTCTCTCTCTCTCTCTCTCTCTCTCTCTATCTTTGTCTCCATATTCCAGATTGATGCGGCCGGTCATCAGCAGCATGCGGGCAGCAGGAGTGCGCGGCTAGGCATGGCCCGTCGCTGCTGCTCCTATTGGTAGCGGGCGCGATAATTTCTCCCCACAAGTGTGCACGGTCAAATTGGGACCTAGCGACAGAGGCACGGGGAAAGAGCACGTGTGGGCGCATCAATCTACCAAAATTATAATAGTGGGCAGCAGGCGCGAGGCAGCAGCATCACACGTCCCGTGGAGGCGGGGCTGCAGGCATGGGGCATTCGAACGCGCTGCTGGCGCCGGACGTTCCGCTAAAGGAAGGATCAAACTCGAAGATCACGCTAGAACGTGGATTCTGCTTTTTTTTCAATTGATCAGAATTTCATGACCAACTTCTCTGACATTAGCCTTTTCTTTAAAAAAATAGTACGTGTGTGAGAATAAGTTAATAGAGGTTAGGGCTATAGGAGCGAAGTACTTAGCACATTGTGAAATGACGCAATTATCTGGTTGACGGAGACAACAATTTTTAATTTAAGCCAAAAGAATGAATGGACGCGGAGCGCTAGTTTGACTAGCATGAGATCGATCATGCTAATCATGGCAGCCACCCACCCGAATCATTGGAGGTCAGCTCAGCCCGGCGACAAGAATGCCCCGGCATATCCAGTGCGGTGTGATACTGTGATCATTCGATCGGAGTTGGGGAACATGCGGACACTACACAAAGCTTCGTGCATACACTAGTGCTTCGTGTCCCTTCATTCTTTTGGCTTAGATAGGTAGCGTGCTGCGTCGCTACGGAATAACTAATAATTTATACTAAAAACACATGAATCGTACGATAAGATAGTAATACTGTGAAATTAAATACCCACATTAAAATGACATCAATCCAAAAAGCAAAGTTCATAAAATTAACACAGTCACGAAGAGCACGGCGTCGCAAGCTCACCGACTCTACTATATAGACATTTCCAAATTTTTGTTGACTCATATAATTAATAAATAAGCAATGCCCCGCCACATTTTTGTTGACTATTCACTGTGTTTTTTAAGAAAACATGTGATGGAGAGATATTGTTGGTTTTTAACTTTTTTTACATCATCACTAATCCAATTGAAGAGAGAGGATCATAATTTTTTTTAAGAAAACAATGTCTATGAATTGTCACATTCTCAGAAAACTGAACTGGTTGTCATCTTTCTATTTTTGCCAGTAAAATTATCTGAGCTTTATATGTATAACCTGAAAACTAAATTGTTTGTCATCTTTCTATTTTTACTAGTAAAATTATCTGAGCTTCATATTTATAACCTGGACTCAACGTGGCCATGCCAAGACATAAAAAGTTACCTTAGTTACAATATCATTATATTAAGCTCAATAACATGGCAGCTGATTGTGCTCTACATCAAGCATCAGTGTATCAATGCCAACCATTGACTCATCCTCTAGAGTTTACAAATGTAAGTCATGGCAATAAATTGTAACAATTCAGGGTAAGTTCAGTGAGAAATCCCTTTTTTCAAGGTTTAACTTTAGTGGGAAATCATCATTCTTTTTCTTGTCTTCCTACATCAGATTGTTCAAAAATAAACCAAGATCAATCCACAGACATTTTACAGTGCAGAGATAACTTTGTGACCTGTCTTGGTGTTGCTGTTACGGGAACACCAATTCAACGAGCGAGGTCTAGAGGTGCAAAGGCCTGATGCCAAACATCTGAATACCATCCAGTGTAATAAAAAAATTAGCAAGCCAAAAATTCAGTGACCATAAAAAAAGTTGACAAGAGAAAAGTATCTAATATATTTTACCAGGAAAGTATCTAACATTGGTACACCAAGCTCATGAATTGAGACTATCAGTAAATAAATAAGGCTCGAGCTACTTGAAATGAGATTGGTAAAGACAAAGGGCTAACTATGCTAAAAAAACAATGGCATCCAAATGTGCAGGCACACAATATCGAAAAAATAGATGATTAACTATATAACAAGAACGTCTGCAGCATCATGAACTATGGTTGTGTAACATCATGAACGGCGAGCGATGGAGGACGGGCGACGTCAATCGGTCTATATATGCGAAGACGACGGCTCGGGTGCATGGCGCGGGCGAACGGCGAGGACTACGACGCGGACGTCGTGGAGGCGGCGGTGTTTCCAGGTGCACGATGCGGGCGAACGGTGAGGACGACGGCGCGACGTCATGGAGGCGGCAGTGTGGCGCACGGGGAGGACGACGGCGCAGGCGCACATACCAGACGATGGAGCAGGTCGTGGAGGGGAGATCGCACGGGGAAGGAAGATCGCACGGGGAGGTGATCTTGCGGTGGCCTTGCGGCGATCGATGATGTAGCCACAGGTGCATCCACCGGTAGACAGACGGTGGATGATCCATTGCGGTTGCTTCTCCACTACACGACGAGGAAGAAGTAGGGGCGGCTCGATCGTACAGGGGCTTGAGGAATGGGACGCGCGACGATCGTCTCTGTGCAGCGACCAGTGATGCGCTTGAGTCCTACCAAGAAGACGCGTTCGTTCGTGCAACGACGAGCGACGATAGTCTTCCGTGTTTGTAGCGCATGCAAATTAGGGTCAAGAATATCATATTTGTGGCACGAGGGCGGTATGATCGAGCGTGAGACGTGTGTGATCGCTTTCCTTGTTTGAGGCAATTAGGGTCAAGACTTTTCGTGTTTGTAGCGCATGCAAATCAGCGTCAAGACTTTCCGTATTTGTAGCGCATGCAAATCAGAGTCAAGACTTTCCGTGTTTGTCGCAAGAGGGCGGTGCATGCTGGAGATGTCGTGGGATCGCAGGCGTGTGTAGACGGACGAACCAAAACAAATGTCGCACTAAAAAATATCAACACTTTATTCTTTTTAGTTGTAGAAGATTAATTGGTGTGTCGGAGATCTGGTAATTGCGTAGTCATGCATTTCGCCGCCATGTGGTAAGTACTTTGCTCTCTATCTATCCATAAATAACTTATTCTCGCACACGTACCATTTTTTTGTTAAAAAATGGCGAATGTCAGGTACTAGTTGGAGCCCCAATTTGGTATGAATTTCTTAGAACGCAGTGCGGATAGAAATTGGATTTGAATTTCTTAGAGCGCATTGCGCCAGCTCAATTGGTACAAGAACCCAAAAAAAAGGCAGAATCAGCATTCTAGCGTGTTCTTCGATCGAGTTTGATCCTTGGTGTAATCTCTTCAACATCGTTCGTTCTTCTCAAACAACTGGAAATAATCATTACTCAGACGCATCCGAACCATCATTTATTTGTTTCCAATCAGCTAGCACTGAAATGCACGCACGTACACGCCAAAGATTTGTCAGTTGTTGGACAGAATAATGTGAGCATAATAGCAAATGTGCTCGCGTCAACTTTAAGGGAGGGAAGTGTCGTCGCAGGCTCAATTATCAGGAAATCGTTAGTACAAAATAACACAACCGATGACCTATATCCATGCAACCTACGTTAATTAGGTGCATTTGCCACGCTAGCAAACAGCATAAGGCATGATGCTGTTTGAATTATAGTAACATTGTCGCTTAACAACAAGTATGGGTCAAATCCAACCTAGCATTTGTCCCAGTTTGTTAGTATATGGACAGATGAGCGCAAGCATTTTTTTCCCCACACTGGCTCTTTCTTCACTTGAAGAAGTCAACTCTGTCACGCATAATTAAAAAAAATCAAAAGGAGAAAAGTATAGTTTGTAAATTGTAAGTACGTCTACTATAAAAGAAGAAATATTTTTTTAAAGCAATGACAAGAGCTCTGCCTTTCAATTATGATAGGTATTAAAAAAGATATTTATGTACGAGCAGGGGTAACAAGCCCCCAAAGGCAAGATCGGAAGACAAAGTAAGTGAAACAACAGCCTTCTCAGCTTGTAGATCACCAGCTTGGGGGCGCCAGTAGTAGCAGGAGTTGACGTCAATTAAACATTCGTTCAAAAACTCATACATTGCTGAGGTTAGCTGACTCCTACATCTACTCAGCTGGAGCCTGGAGCCATTGCGTAGCAAAGACTTTTGGTTTGATCAAAAATTCAAAACGCGCGCGCACGACATAGATGGCCGGATGAGTCCATTGGTGTGGAAGTGGACCTGGACGGAAGACGCTGGGTGCAATGCAGCGCGGGCCCATATTCCTTTGGCCCGTGATTTGCGCCGTGAGGCTCTGCCGAATCAGCAGGGCAACGCGTGTCTTGCCGGCGCCAACCAGCAAGTGCCGCTCAGCTAGCGGCAGCGACCACAGTTCAGTTCGTCCGCACTTGGAGGCGCCACCGCGCGCCCGCGTGATGAGAGGACCACGATTCCACGCACGAACCCATCTCCCAACCGGCCAAGTCCACTGCTGCGTAGCGTAGCTTTGCATGAGGCTGATCATGACAAGCACCCACCCACTGGAATTATTGGAGCTCAGCTCAGGCTCAGCCGAGCGACAAGAGTGCTCCGACATATCCGGGTACGGTGTGTGATCATTGGATCGAAGTTGGGGAACATGTAATCATGCATGCGGACTACGAGTGCACAAAGCGACACAGTGGAGGAGTTGGCCAGTTGGCCGGGTTCGTGCATGGTCGTCTCCAAGCGCGTGTGCCTCCTCCTCGCAAATAACAAAAATAACACACCCCGCTCCTAGCCTTTGCATTGCATATATGCATGTACACAAGACAAGATCCTCACCACGTTAAATCTTTAATTACGGCCTAAATCAACCCGGCCAACTATCTGCGCGACTCCCATGACGCCGGAGACGGCATCGTCGACGCCGTCCTGGCCGTCGCAGTGCCCGACGAAGCAGTGGTCGCCGACGACAGGCGCGGCGTGCCGACCTGTTTGATGGCCACGTTCGTAAGCGGGCTGCGCCTCCGCCGCTCCTGCTCCTTGACCAGCTCCGCGGCCATCGCGTCCACCTTCTCGGCGTTGGTCCGCTCCGACAGCCTCCGCCCCCGGAACAGCACCGACTCCACGTTCCGCTGCGCAAGCATCGCTCCCGCTGCCGCGGATGCGGTGGCCGCGTGGAGCGGCGCCGGCGCCTTGCCGGCCTGGATGCGCACGTAGTTGCTTCCGCACGCGAGCCCGAACGCCATGGCCACTGACTCGTCCACCATGTCCGCGACGCCCTCGGCGGTTACGCGCGCCAGCTCCCGCGGCGACGGAGAACGCGTGGGCATGGGCGTGCTCGACCCGTCGCACACGGACACGGTGGCCGAGGAGGCACCGGCGCCGATGGAGAGCACGAGGAGGTCTTCGACGCCGGTGGCGAGGGGGAACTCCTGCTTATTGTGGAGCACGTGGGTGATGGCGGCCGCTGCGGGGTTACCCATGGCCGCCACTCCCCCGGACGCCCCGGCGATGGCCGTGGCACCGTCGACCGACCTCACGCTCGCGAGCGCGCCGCCCGCGGCGCAGGTGGCGGCACACACGTCGCGGAGGCGGAAGTCGAAGCTATCGCTCTCGACGGCGTCGGCGCGCGAGAACACGAACGGCGCGGCCGTGCCGAGGTCGTAGCACGGCACGAGGAGCGGCGCCACGGTGTCCCTGAGCGTGGCGTCCCCGAACACGCGGCGGAGCATGCGGTCGCCGCCGCCGCGAGAGCCGCGGAAGAGCTTCGCCAACCCACCGCGCCGGCTCCGGCCGCACCAGTCCTTCCTCCCGACGATGCCGGCGACGAACGCGAGCGCCTCCTGGGCCGAGTACCGCGGGCGGCCGTCGGCGCCCCTGAGGAGCAGCATCGCGGCGAGGACGCCGCCTGCGCCGGCGCCCGCGGCCACGTCGAAGAAGTCCGCGACGCGCGCGTCGGGGTCCCCCGTGCAGTCTCGCAGCTTGGCCTCGAGCCTCGCGAGCGCCGCGGCGGCCAGGAGTGCGTCCTCGGCGCCCGCGCCGCAGCCGTCGATGGCGAGCACCCGCACGCGGCCGCCGCCGTCGAGGAGCGCCCGCGCTGGCCTCCCGGGGCCGGACGGGCACCACCCGCCGATGAGGAACTCGCTCTCGAGCAGGGAGAAGAGTTGGTGGCTGAGCTTGTCCACGCACGTGGGTGGCGACGCCGTTGCCGCGTAGGTCTCCATCGATGGTCCAGGAGCAGGCGGCACGAGGAGAGAGCTTGTGTAGCGTAGCTAGAGATTGGCTGGAGCTCGTGAGTGGTGAATGCGAGTGAGTGGGAGAGACTGCGATGCTCAATGCCGATGAGTCCCCAGTCTGCTCCAACGCGACTCTTTTATAGGGGCTACTGGCTGGCGCAGGTTAGCAGCGGGCGCCGCAAACGTGGCTGCGGCGGTGCGGCCGTACAGCTAGCGTACGGACGTATCATGGCCGTCGGAGCTGTGGTCGACGAAAACCGGAAGCATCCGCCACTTTGCCGGTGATGAACTGATGCCAGGAAGTTTCCTGTCCGAACTCCGAAGTGGCCCGGTGCCTAGATGGGGACACCGGTCATCGACGGAGTCGACCGAAGTGCGGGACCATCTTGTCAGTGCGCGGTGGCGCAGGGTCACCGATGCCGCCGGGATCGGGAATTCCGGGTGGTGTCTGGTGTCCCGGGATGGGGAGACGACGACGGCTCGACGCCCTGCCCTGCGCCTGCTGCGTTATCCCATCCCGCGTGCGGACTGTCAGCTCATGCCGTCGGTGTTGGATTTGGATCTGGAGCTCCACTGTGCATGCGTTTTAATTACACACGTGACGAATTAAATACAGTAGCAAAGTAAGTGGTTCTAGGAGTGGTGTAGAGAGAGTGCGTTCTATGCTATGCAGAGGATGATGTAGATTCACACCCATGCAGGGGTGGTTATGCGCTCTTTCCACGGGCTTTCGTCAAGGTAACCAACAAACGGGCGCACACGTGCATGCACCGTTCGGATATGTTTTCCTCCTTTGTTGTCATTGCCAGTTGCTACCTTCTAGCCTACTAGTACTCCTCATCCGTAGCACTGGCCAGATAAACGGCATGATAAAGATTAAGAGATGGTACAGTCGTACAGGTGAGATGAGGTGTTTTGTCGTAGCAGCTGTTACACGGCCAGCGGTACACAGGCGGCATACATTACCACTTCTGTGTCTTTGTCGCATAGTTACAACCCCCGGTAAGGAAACCGGCGGGAACGAGGGTTATGATGCCCTAACCAAGATACGAGGCTTTGATCCATGTTCAGGCTGTCGATCCAAGCGCCGTTCGGTTAGCCCATTCCAGGGCTTTCTTGGCCGGAACCCTTCCCACGTTATTTAAATTTTGATTTCTGAAGAAAACGACGGCCAGGAATGGTTCCCCAACGAAACGAACGAGGCCTTAGTCGTTTAGCGTTAACTCCCTTTTTTTTTTGAGAATTCATTTAGCGTTACCTTGTGTGTTTAGCTAGCCTAAGGAATTAACTTAATCTAGTATCCAAGATGCTTAATCACGCATCTTAACGGGAATGCTGAGGGCGTGCACACATACATCAGGAGATCATGCATGGGCAATACGCGTGGTATATACCATGTAATGTTTGTAATTCTGAATTATCATTTCCTTGGGATAAGGTAGCACCATCAGACAGCAAAACCGTTGGCATGAATTATATATGTGCCGTGCCTGTACGTGGCTTGCAGCCGGCACAGCATCGAGTTGTTGCCGCGCGGTTGTGTGCAGCGTTGAGTTAGCTGGTGTGCATGCATGCTTCCGATCCGTCCCAGATTCCACGCACAGCTGGAGGCGCAGGCACCTAGCTAGCACCGCAGCGACCCATGGTTTGACTAAGGCGCGCACGGGTCACGGTCACGGGTGGGTGGTGACGAGCGGAGAACGGGCGTGGTGCCTTGGGCCACGCACGCACGCACGAATGGCGCCGCGACGACGTGCAACGAATTGGGAGCCTTGTTCGGCCCCGGCGAACACGTGTCCTACTCCTGCCGGAGAACGCCGGCCGGCGCGCCAAGCTAGCAGCACATGCACACAGCTCAGCCAGCGGCCGCCCGGCGGCGCGGCCACGCGGCTCTACAACACCTACCACCGGTACCCACCAGTTCGTCGGCACTTGAACGCGCCACATGGCCAGGCCCGGTCCTCTCAATTTATGGGCCTGGAGGTTGGCCAGAAAGATGGGCCCTTCATTTACGACAACGCGCAAGAATGACGCCGGACGTGAAGACGCAGCTATGAAGCGACGAAGAGAGCGGCCGCGGCGGAAGTGAAATCGACGGACTCTTCCTCACACGCTCCAGCATTTTTGGGCCACATATATGATTTTCTATTGGACCTGAGTATACCAGCTATAGCTTATAGTGTGTACATATCTAGGATTAGGCCCCTTGGCTTCGAGGGCCCTGTGCCAATGCACAGCTCGCACCCCCCAGGGCCGGGCCTGCACATGGCATCTCGATCGCGGTCGCGCGTTTGCATATTTTGGGCGCACTTCGCAGCTTCACGCTACGTGCGTGCGTGCAGCCGTGCACCCTGTTCTGTCACTCTGCAGCCGCGCACGCATGTTTGATGTTCCCTAACTACTCCCACCCGACCTAATCATACGGTGATATATACGTACGGACTGCGGATATGTTGGACGGAGTTCACTGCATCTTGTCGCGGGGCTCGGACACGGATGATTCCTTCCTCCTCGCCATGGTGGTGATGATCCATGATGGAATGGCTTTTCGTTACAAACAAGATTATGTACCAAAACCACAAGGCAATATATATCCACACGATTGTTTTCAACTGCCTATACATCTAGCTTCCCCTGCCATGCAACAACCTCCATCCAAAAATGAGAGGTATATTTGACTAGACAAAAAGTCAAATTTTACTTAGTTTGACTAACAATTAGTTAAATTAAGTATAGCATCCCATAACCCCAAACAAAATTCATTGACATGTATACATACAAAAATACCCGCTGCCTCCACCACCACCCACGGCCGCGCCGACAACGTGCTGCCTTGCTGCCCCGTCCACCATCCACCCTGGCCCTCCGCTAACCCGTCGGCTTCGTCATCTAGTCGTCGGCGAGCCTCCCCCGCTTCTGCTCCGCCGGTCCGCCCCAACCGCCGCCTCCACCACCATGCTTGGCGGTACTCCATCGCCCCGCCCACGCACCGCTGGGCCAGCCTATTGCTAGGGATCTAGGGTTCGAGGGAGGCAACAAACCTCAACCTGCCTCCAGCAACGATCGACGTCAGCACGGGGAGCGCGGTCGTGCGAGCACGTGACCGTCACTGGTTAGATTTTGCGATTTTGTTTGGGGTCATGGGATGTTGTACTCCTATTGTAGGATCTCTGGTACGCCTAGAGGGGGGTGAATAGGCCTGTAAGAATTCAATTAAAACTAAAGTCAAATTCACCAGCGACACTGCCGCTCTGTGAGCGTGGCACTGCTGCACCTGTAGGAGAGATTAGTTCACAGTTTAAAATCTACCCAACGAAATTTGGATCGGGTATATTTCTTAGCTTCCTACATGGTAGTAGATCACAGATCGACAACTGAAGGTGGTGGAAACACCACACACATGTAGATCGGTTTCAATCCTAGAAATCACCTCAACAACAATATGTCATGCAAATAATGTAAATCACGAACAAGTGACACAATGATTTATCTCGTGGTTCGGTGGGCCACCAAGACTTGCCTACCTCCACGTTGTTGAGGTTAGCCACTAAGGCTTAGAGCTTTTTAACCCTTCCTCGTTCTTAAGTCAAGAGACTTAACTCTTGAGATGAGGGGTGAGTTTACTAGCTTTAAGAGATGGTTACAAACCTCCCGGGGCTACCACAGAAGTTGGCAAGCTCCACGGGCGGCGCTCTAGCCGGCTAGGAGCCAAGCTCTAAGAGTAACAAACACAACCGCCTGCTCTTTAGAATTTAGGAATCAATGAAGTTGATCTCAAATCAAGTTTGGACCCTTTTCCTTCAAGGATTGATGGAAAAATCAATGGATTTGCTTGAGGGCTTTAGGTCAACAATGGAGTGAGAAAGAGAGAGCTCCTGCTCTATTTTGGACGTACTGAAGTGAGAAAGAAGAGAGCAGGGTTGGTTACCTTTGGGAAGGAAGGGGAAAGATATATATACCCCCAGCCCCCAACGATCACTTTAAATCGTAGATAGCCGTTGGCGAGGAAAGGGAAAGGTATATATACCTTCCAGCCCCCAACGGTCACTGCACCCAAGGGATCGGGCGAGACGGAGCACGCGACCTTGGGGTCGGGTGAGATGGAGCCCGTGACCTTGTGGTCGAGCGAGACGGAGCCCGCGTCCAAAGGGTCGAGCGAACCAGAGCCCACGACCAAAGGGTCGAGCGAGCTGAAGCCAGTGACCTTGAGGTCGGGCGAGATGGAGCCCATGACCAAAGGGTCGGGTGAACCAGAGCCCGCGTCCAAGGGGTTGGGCTAGTCGAAGCTCGCACCCGAGGGGTCGGACGAGTCGGAGCTCGCACCACGCAAGACAGCAAGGGTAATAGTGAAGTGTAGACTGTCTTGGCTATGAATTTGAGGGTGCTTGTGGTTGTTTGAGCACTTGGTAGCACATATTAGCTTAAGCATTATGTCCCCCTTTATAGTACAGCTTTTCCTATACTCAAATTCAATATATAAAAGAATTTAAACATCCTTTGAGTTTGAAGCCATCTACATATATAATTGGGGACTCCTCCATTTCGTGTAGCATCCTCGAATATAAATTCCCTACATGTCATCTCGATAAATCTCATTAGTTCTCTAATTGCATGGTCATTATCACTAAAATACATAATTAAGGCTTGATTGCACTTTCAATCTCTCCTTTTTTGGTGATTGATGACAACCCAATTAGAGCTTACAACAGATATGACATAAATACTGAGACTTTCGAGCCATGGGTGTAGAGCCTCCCCCTAAGTATGTGAATAGAGAATTGAATTCTCAAATTGGCATAAGAAGCCAAGATTCATATTTTAGTGAAAGTGATGGGGCTCCCCCTACATCCATGCTCCTGTGGGATGCTGCACACTGTGTCAGGTATGTAAAACGTGATGCAAATAACAGTTTATGCACACATGTGCTTGCTGCTATGCGGCAGTGCCGCTCCTGACTGTACGAGCAAGACAGAGTCAAGCACCACACG